ATAAAATGTCTTCTAATTAAATATTTAATGAAGAAGTATTCCATACATAATAGAAATTAATGAATATTATTAATTTTAGAATTAATTTTATACACAAACAGAAAACGAAATTTTCTAACTAACCTATTTTCCTGTATGTATATTGTTCGCATAATTCACTGTTATAATCAGCGAACTGTTCAACCACTCGGTTCTCTAAATTAAAAAAACCAAGCCAGCAAATATTTCTCGCCCATTTCACTATCTCAGAACCAGTAGCACGTACAAAGATATAATCATATCCTTGAAAAAAAAAAAAAAAATAAAAAATAGAGTTATATCCTTGAAAAACCTAGCGTACAATATAAAAGAAAAAAAAGAACGCATGAAAATTTCATAAAAGCAGCATAAAGTTATGACATAAAAAATACGACGCAACGGTGATCGTATTATAAAAGAGAACACGCGCGACGGAAGGTTAACAACTTCACGCATCTTCTGACACATTTTTAACTTCCAGTGTACACGAAGTGTCGTAACAGTTGAGCATTTCGCGTGACTTCCATTTCAGATCGCAGATAAGAATAAGTCGTAACAGAAGTGAGGTTATGCTCATCCATAACAAAACCAGAGATTGAAGAATGGAATTTCCAACCTTTAAACGAACGGTATTGATATTCCGTGAAGCAGGAATATCACCTATCTGGTATTCATTCTCGATCCCAAGAGAACTCGAGAACTCACTATTACATGCAGCCTTCGGAAAGATCTACTTGCACAGTCTGATAGCTGCTACATTTTCGTGTTCTTTTCAAATTCTATTTTTCGTACGATCTACTACGAAATGGTACAGAAAACTTTTCTACATTCGTGTAGTTTTCTGAATTTATAAATTTCTAAGTCTTGTTATATTTTTAAACTTTTACAGTTTACTATATTTTTCCAGATTTCTCCACATTTATAAATTTGTACAATTTGCTAAATTTTTAGACTTTTCCATGTTTCTGAATTTTTATACTATTCTAGATTTTTCTAAATTTCTAAATTATTCTAGATGTTTAAATTTCTCTAGATTCCTAAATTTTTCTAGATGTCTACATTTCTTAACTTTTATCATTCTCTAGATATCAAAGCCTTCCCACAATTTCTAAATATTCCTAGATACTTAAATTTCTCTAGATTTCTAAATTTTTTAAATTTACCAACAATTTTCTTATATTTCTTACTTTTTCTTAGAGTATTTCAAATATTTACATTTTTTTAGATGCCTAAATAACTCTGAATACCTCTGAATTTCTAAATATTTGAGAAGTTTAACATTTTTTTTAATTTCTAACTTTCTTCAGATTTTTACAATTTGATATATTTATTTAAACTTTCATTGAATAATTTTAATAAATAAATATTTAATGCAATGAAATCAATACCTGAAGTCAAATGTGTATATAAAATTCCGCTTTTCCAGCATTTTTTCATCGGCCACATATAATATTCGCGATTTCCTCTCATTTCTCCACTATCCGTCTGTTTTTGTCAGTTTGCAAAGAGAAAGAAGAAGAAATTTTCATCGAAAAATTCAACTTCCGTCGGAAGTTTGCGAGTGTAGTGTGTAACTAACTTCTCGTTCTCTCTCTAGCAGCCTTTTCAGTTTCATGAGCTCATAATGTGGCAGCGGTATATCGTTCCAACTCCGGCGAACTGTTATATTCCTTCAATTTATTAATTCATGCGTTTACATTGGCATCGAGCGCTGCGAAGTGAAACAGTATGCACTTTGTGTACTGTGTAGCTAATAAATTGTGCTATTATCTTTAGACCAATCGAGAGACACACGACTGCAACGTGGTTGCCCCTTGGCTACGAATAAACCTATGGGGAAATGAGTTCCATCGTATGTTTATTTTAATTAATTAATTTATTTATTCATCTGTTTATGGAGTAAATCTTCATACAAGAAGAAATATAAATGGAGGGGAAAGTTTCTTTGTCAATTAAAATAGGACAATAATTAAAATTTAAATGGTGACGTAGATGCAGGCGAAATATAATGTAATATAGTATGAAATGTAATATACAAGATTTTTTATAATTTTCTAGATTTTCAATGTTCTAAATATCTAAGCTTCCAATTTGAAAATTTAAGAACTTCTACATTTTCAGTTTTTCAAGCAGACAGGTTTCTCAAAATTCAAAATTTAAAAATTCCAAAATCCAAAATTCCAAAATTCCAAAATCCAAAATCCAAAATTCCAAAATCCAAAATTCCAAAATCCAAAATTCCAAAATCCAAAATTCCAAAATCTGAAATTTCAAAATCCAAAAGTTCAAAATCCAAAAGTTCAATATCCAAAATTTCAAAATCCAAAATTCCAAAATACCAAAATCACAAATTTTAAAATCCAAAATTTCAAAATCCCAAAATTCAAAGTTTCGAAATCAAAAATGTCAAAATCAAAAATTCCAAAATTCCAAAATTTCAAAATCAAAAATGTCAAAATCAAAAATTCAGAAATGTAAAAATCAAAAATTTGAAAATCCCAAAATTCAAAATCCAAAATTCCAATTTTCTAAATTCCAAAATAAAAAATTTCAAATTTTCAAGTTGCCAAATTTCTACATTTCCAAATTCATAAACTTCCAAATTTTCAAATTACCATATTTCTAAATAGTCAAATTCCCAAACTTTCAAATTTTCAAAATCTTTTAAATCGCTAATTTCCAAATTACCTTTTCAGCACCTTTTTAAGGAAGAATAAAATATTAAACACATTTTGCAGTTTTACAAACACTTAGAGTAACAGCATAAATTAGAGTGTAAATAAAAAAGTAACAAAGAGAAGAAATTTCGTATGCACACGGAAATCACATCGTTAAGAATGCACATCGTTAAGAATTAAAGACGGTTAATTAACGAGTACTTTAAGCATGGTACGGATTTTCGGTATGTGTCTATATGAACAGAGTTAAGAGAACTACAAATTCGATTTGTGTAACCGAAATAACCGTTGTTAATCAATAACCATTAGTTCAGTACTAATTACAGTGTAATTTCTTAGACAAATTGAGGTTATATAAAAGAAAAGTTGAACTATCATCTTCCTCTATTTTCTCTAAACTAATCTGTATAATGCACTATCTTCTTACAAGTACTTTACGGTTACTATAACGTAAAGTATTTGTACGTTCGCATTCGTGGCCACCTAATATTTTACCGAGCGACGGATAATCCAAAGATTTAATTAAGTTGACTGCTCTCGAGGACAGATTCTGGATTATCCATGTTCCCTTCGGGTACCACGATAATGCATAGAATTCCTAGAGCTACATCTCGAGAAAATCAAACGAGAAATTTCAAAGCCATATGGCGGACCGTTTTACCTTCTCCTTTTTCCTTTGATCATTCTCCTTTCCTGAATAATTAGACAGAAATAATTGCTAAAAGCCGACGGAAGCTGCAATCATTTGCATTCGTTTAACGTATTACCATGACAAACGTTACGCGCGCAAGAATTTATATAGGGTGTTTCTCCAAATTATTAAAATTTTGAAATTTCTCAATTACCTTTACATTTATTGGTTTGAAAGCTTTTAAGTTCTTCAAGTTGCAAACTTACAAATATTTCACTTCTGAAATTTGGGACTTTAAATTTAAGACTTTAATATATTTAGTAAATTTTCGTTTATTACATTCTATATTATATTACCTTATATTTCTTTCCTTTTTATTTAAAATTAAATCGTTCCTTCTATTTAAATTTAAATATATGTTTCATTTTCTCTAAGTGACTACAATCCTAAGCTCTTCTCAATCTTCACCCCTACATTATACTTTTTTCTATGCAAAGAAATTTACACCACAAATAAATTAAATAAATGAAACTACCTAAACAACATCATTTTTCAACTTCTATACCACTATAATACCTGTTTTTTATTAATTCATTTTGTTGTATATTTTCATTAACGTATAGTCCGTATTCAGTATTTCTATAAACGATATTATATTTCTTAATCGTGCTACAATAAAGTTTCATTTTTGTCACTGGCTACTTTTGTACGTTCGGCAAACTTGGGTCACTGCCAAAACTACACTATGTAAGTAAAACTTCAGACACGAGAGATTTGCTTATTTTGAAACGTTAGTACATCCTCGACCACTTTTCTCAACCGCATTTAGACACTTCAGCCATTTTACGATTTTTACTGTTGACGTATCACGTGACTATCCGACTAACACCGAAAAGAAACGAAGTCACCCGACGTGTCACTATTCATTCGTTTACCGCGAATATTATTAAAACCGTGATGTAAAGTAAACGCTTAAAACTACGAAAAGTTCCGAATTATGTCGTGTTAGGTCTCGTTTTACTCAGGAAGAAGTCACAAAATATGTTAATAAAAGTTTCATAACATAAAAGTAAAAAATTTAAAGGTTTATTCTTGCAATAGGATTGTATCACGGATGAGTTACTGTTTGGTTACGTTCGAACGTTTCCATCATTCGCTACTTTTCTACGTTCGGAAAACTTCGGTCAATATCGGAACTACGCGATGTGAACGAGAACTCAGATCAGAAAGATCCACTTATGTCCAGATTTTACCGCATGAGCAGAAGTCTTAAAATCACAAGTAAATGTGTTCCGAATTACGTCGTGTTTGATCTCATTTTCACCAGGAAAATATCGCAAATATGTTAGTGAATGTTTCAATAATAAAAAAATAAAAAAGAAAACAGTTTTATCCTTCCAATACAATTGTGTCACGGATATTCGTGTTCAATATTTTGGTCACTACGTGTTCGATATTTCGGTCGTTTTCGTTGCTCGCTTTCTACATTCGGCATACTTCGGTCAACGTCGAAACTACTTAAAATTTAAAAAAAGTTCGCAGAGTTCGAGAGATTCGCTTATATTGAATCTTTAATAGATACTGTGTAAACTTTCATACGCGTGTTAAGGATCATATTCCAATGCGAAACTTCAGCTACAACAAAAGTAACGTTAAAACATTGATTTTTGCAGTTGATCGGAGGGACACGATAGTTATCGAGTGTGCTCGTAGAAAAAGGCTGGGAAGAAATCAGAAGTTGGCATCTCATAAAATGAAATGATGCAAGAGTAGGTGCTAACTAGGAGAGTGGAACGGCAACGAGGATCCATTGAAAACTTTTAACGAGTTGTAACTATAGATATGATTGAATGTTACTGCTTTATGGAATCTACTCGAACTGCTTCTACTCAGTATTTCGTACCACAGTACAATTAATTTACAGTTTCTCAAATTTCGAAATTCTCGAGTTATCGAACTAAGAAATTTTCAGTTCTTCAAATTTTTAATTCTTTTCTTACTAAATTTAGAAATACACAGTTTGTCAAATTCTCAAATTATTTATTAAACTTCAATATTCCAAAATTCTCATATTTTTAAATGGATAATAAAAAACTTCCAAGTTTTTAAGAAGTATAGAAAGTTCTAGACAAAGTTTTTTATACTCCATTAAAATTTTTTTAGAAAGACGCAAAAATAGGTCAACGTGTCAAGGTATTAAGGGATGATTAAGCTAGAAACTTGAAGCATTATATGTATAATGTAGTGATACACTTGCTTTGTCCATGAAGTTGATGGTGAAATATCATCGTTCTCGAGAGTTAATCTGAATAGTTTGAATGTATGCTTGATATTACGGACGACAGCTGCACTTCCGTTTAAAAGTCGATACGAACTTTCATGTGTCATGTAAGAGTTAAATTGTTGTCGATGAAATATCTCATATATTTATTGTAGTTCAAATAGTGATTTTGTTCAAAATCATTATTGAGTCTAACATTACTTTAAAAACGTGCATTGTGAAATTATTATGATTATTTTGGAACTTACAATTGTTCATAACATCTTAATTAATTTACTGAAGATATTAAATTTCAGTTTTATTGAAGTAATCGCTGGATCATTATTTCAAATTGAAATAATTGAAATAATTGACGGAATTGACTAAATTGAAAAAAAGTATAGAAGTTGACCAAATTGTAAAAATGAAGAAAACTGGTAAAATTGACAAAACTGACTAAATTGAAAAAAATTGTAGAAGTTGACCAAATTATAAAAATTAACAAAACAGGTAAAATTGACAAAATTCACCAAATTGAAAAAAATTGTAAAAATTGGCCAAATTGTAAAAATTAATAAAACAAGTAAAATTGACAAAATTGACTAAATTGAAAAGAATTGTAGAAATTGATCAATTTGTAAAAATGGACAAAACTGCGCAAATTAAGAAAATTTACAAAATTGGCCAATTTTTTAAAATGGATAAATTAACAAAACAGACCAAATAAATAAAATAAAAATAAATTAAAAAAAAATTAATTTTATTAATTAAAATAATAATTATAATTATTAAAACAAAATTTCAAAATAATTTATTTATTTAATAGTGAAGCTGAAATTGAGAATTGAAAATATACATACGTAAACAAATTATAATATGTTACAGTATTACATTTGCCTGCCCATTGAATTTACAGGTCAAAGTGGGTACACAAAGGCCTTTTATCTTAGAATTGAAGATTTCTCAGCCCTATTGTTGAAGCAATTTTGCAAAATATATTCCGAACCACTTTGCATCGTGAAGATAGCAATAACGGTGGGGTAATAGCAACTTCGGTATTCAAGATACTTCTACTCTTCAACAGCGTTCTATTCAAAAAGTTTCAAAAGAACTGTATAATACGAATCCGCAGTTCAACTAAACCTTCAATGAAATAACGGACCATTTTAACAACTTCCTTTTTATCTTATTTTTAATCAAATTATATTGGTACACAATTTGTGATGCAGCAGGTGTTCAATTTATTATTTCAAATTTATCACTTTATATTAAATTAAACAATTTTTTTGGGAACATTCAAATTTTTATTTTTTGTTTTTTTAAATAAAAATTCAAGTTTCTATTTTCTAATTATTTTAGTAAAAATTTGTATGATTATTCTTTAATTTCTTTTGTAAAAATTCAAAATTTTATTTTCTGAATTGTTTAATGGAAACTTAAAACGTTATACTTTTATTATTTGAATAAATATTAAATTTTTATTTTGTAATTTTTGTAATGAAAATTCAAATTTTGATTTTTAAATTTTTTGAATGAAATTTCCAAATTTTATTTAAACATTTTTTTTTTAAATATTCCATTTCTTATTTTTTAAATTTTCATAATGAAAATTAAGATGTTTATTTTATAATAAAAAAAATAAAAATTATTTTAAATTTCTTCACTGCAGTTCAGATTGTTACTAATTTTTAAATAAAAATTCTAAAGATTTTAACAATTTGCAATAAAATTTTACTGGTGTTTAATTTAAACTTTTTAACGAAAATTACAATAATAATTTTTACTTATTTTTTAATTCAAGTTTCAATTACAATTTATTCTCCAATTAACATTTAAATTAATTATTAATTTAACTTTAGTGATAAGTAAAATATATTTTCTGTATTGTTCTCTCAATTATTTTAATCATACATAAAATAATTTCAAGACAATATTTAAAATTTTATCCATATTGTTTAACAACAAATAATTTATTAAGAAAAAATTACAATAAAATATTATTACAAAATATTACAGCAAAACTAATTATTAAAAAAGAATATTAATTAATTAAATAAATTGATCAGTATGATATATGCTGAAAATATTATTGAATACTTTAAATTAACAATGATGGTATATTAAAATGCACAAATATATAAATAATAAGTCCGAAGGATCATTGCTGATGAATATCCACACAAAAGCACGCTTTCCAACCTGTTCGTTTTCCAAACTCGAATTATCAAGCGTCTCAATTAAATCGCCAGAGTAAAATGATTTTTAAGCGGTTGAAAACCATAATTAAGCCGACGATTCTGAATTGGCCTTACTTCGCAAATTTTTCGTTCAATCGCTCGCTAAAGTAGCTCGAGTGTTCGATCGTGTAGCAAAGCCGGAGTAAACACGTAAAAATATAGCTACTTTCAATCAATTTCCGATTTGCATATTAATAAATATCGACAAACATGCATTAGTATGTATTGAATTTTAGAACGTGCTCAAACCGCTTGCGTGACGGATATATTTTCAAAATAAAGTACTAGAGCCGATTAATTACGCTGATTGCGCAATTAATGTTTAAAAATTTTTAGACCTGCACGCTGCGAGTTTTTTTATATTTTATTTGAAAACGTAAAATATATTTTCGTATGACAACTTGTTAATTAATTTACTTACTATAAATTCATATTTAAATTAATTAATTAATTCGACTTTAACTTACTTGATTTCAATGTTATTCATTTTCACGTTAATTTTTGTGTAAATTTGACATCAATTCTTTAAGAAAAATAGTTAAATGTTATTAGCGAAGCTTTACAGAAATTAAAAAATGTGAACATGTTTTAGTAAAATATGAAATAAATATTTTTATAAAAACTTTCTAATCAAATATAAAAATCGTATAAGCAAATTTTTTAATAAAAATATAAAGTTTGCTTAAACAGTTTTTAACGGAATATAAAGTTTGTATTAACGAGTTTTGTAATGAAATATAAATTTTGAACGAACTTTTTAATAAATATTTGTATGAATAGTTGTTAATAAAATAAAAAGTTCATGCAATTAAATTTTTTAATAAAATGTGAAATTCATTTAAAGACATTTTCTAATAAACTGTTTTTACAAACTTGTTTGTACAAGTTTTAACTTTCACTAGTACATCATATGGATGACGTTTAAATTTTCATTTAAATCTATCACCTGTGCTACTAAGAATTTATTCACTTATCTAATTAAAAATATTCATATTAACTACTTAAAACTATGGATAATAAATACAACAAAATACACTGCTGGCCAAAATTAACGCACCACTTTCTTTAGCTGCTTCTTTCTTTACGTTCTGTTGGAGGTAGGACTTTGAAATTTTGAGGATAGTTGGGCCCATGGGTTATCTCAATGCTCCAGGAGTGCCATTGTTGCCTGCCAGCCATTGTTGCCTGCCACCCCCTTGCGGTATCGGCGACCCCTTGAATGCTAGGGGGTCGAAAAACCGAAAAAAAGGCTCTAAATTTGCGGCGTCGCTGGAGGCTGTGCGGATCATGTGAGCGATTGTACCTTCTGAGATCGAAGAGAGGAGGGTTCAAACTTCGTGAGAGGTCAATCCGCGGGATGCCAACTGCCTCCAATATGTCGTGGCTGCTAGGTGAACTTGGGGTTGAAAATCTCAAAATTTCCACTTTTTTGCATATCGCGCAAGAACGGTTCGAGTAATCGACTTGAAAATTTGTACAGAAATGCTCCAATGATCCCTCAATCGATCGCATGCACCCAATTTACCCGTCCACCCCCGGGCGTGGATTGAGAGGGTTGGAAGTAGGAACCCCCTCAGCGGGGATTGGTTTCACACCAGGCACAAACCATCAACAGGAACGATACCGTTGGCACGGAAATAAGTTTTTCCGTGAACTGCGGGTCTAAAATTGACTTTTAACTGTGAAAAAAATGAAAAAACAGCAAGGGGAGGTTTTTTGACAGCGTGTAGCGACCAAGGGGTTGGTGTAAACGCGACCAAACTTTTACCAGGTATAACTGGGGTCGAGAGGAAGCTTCGGTAAAAGTTTGAGCAAAATCGAAAACCGCCCCTTTGGGAGGGGCGGAAAATTAGGGAGGGGGTTGGGGGTGTCGCAGGCGGTTGAGCCGGGCATTTTCGGAAAGGCCGCAACCTAAAGAACTTCATTCTGTAAAAAAATTTCGGACTTTTTCTTTTTTTCTGTCGAATTTAGAGCCTTTTTTTTCGGTTTTCCGACCCTCTAGCATTCAAGGGGTCGCCGATACCGCAAGGGGGTGGCAGGCGATAATGGCACTCCTGGAGCATTGAGATAACCCATGTGCCCAACTATCCTCAAAATTTCAAAGTCCTACCTCCAACAGAACGTAAAGAAAGAAACGGCTAAAGAAAGTGGTGCGTTAATTTTGGCCAGCAGTGTATGGTGAACATATTTTGTAGAATTAATTAAAAATAAAAATATCTACTAACGTTTTCTACTGCTTCAGTGTGACAGTCAACACGTCAACTTTTTAAACCACACAATTTCAAAGAAAATAAAAACCTAAGTTGCACAGAATTTTCTTATAATATAAAGAAACAGAAAAACGTTCACTTCAATTATTTCGCACAAAAACGCCAACTTTTCGAGATGGGTTAAAATATATGCCACCATGCATAAAAGCTAAGCAAAAGTTTTTATTCCACCTAACCGCAAAGAGTTAAAGTGCAGTAAACTTACGGTGACTTTGCATGAGTGATCTGCGGAAGAAAGTAGCTGGGGCGCTACTCGCGTTTTTCTATGGCACGGTTTTAGAAGATGCGTTCGAAAAGTGCTACGTAATACAGTCTGTAACATAAGAGCGTGGACGCAATATCTTCGAATGTTTATACAAAACAAAATGACGACCGTTATAATGTGAACATTTATTGTCTTCCCTAATACGCAATTGTCACAAATCTTTTAGTTTCGTTCGTATCGCTGAGAAATAGAAACGTTTGTAATATGAGTGCAGCGTATGCAAAACGGTTTGAAGCGGTCTTTCTCTGCTCGCATCCGAAAGGACCAAAAATGAGCGTTCGAAGTGCAGCTAAATATCTGCATAAATCGCATGAATGTTCCTTTTGGGCTTGGTCTCCTATCAAGCATGCCTGGTCAGTTCGTGGTAATCCCGTAATCCAAAGAACTGTAAAACACCCATTAAAGGTGCACGTGTGGGGATGTTTCAATGCACGTGGTTTCGGGACATTGTGTGTTT